TCCCCAATTATTTTTAAAAGCACTGAGCATTTTCAATTTCGACCTCCTAAAAGTAAAAACTAGATCCAATTTGCTTCCAAAAACATACATACACTGGGCATCGAAGCTTATGATCAGAGCATTTTTTCTACCAGAAAAGTTGAAAAGTTACAAACATTTTAAAATACCTCAAATAAACGTCAGAAATTATTAGACTGGACAAAATAAAAATGTAACTAATTTTCAAGCCCCCCCCCCCCATTGAAAAATAAATCCTGCGGACGCCACTGTGACTGATGATTGTTGATTATTTTGGTATGATAAAGGAAAAAATTATTCATATTTCCAAAAACTAAATAAATTGTAGAAAATGAACAGCAACACTTTTATAAATATTTGAACCATCAAAATTTTTCTAAAAATCGGGTTTATAAACTGGCTATTTTGAAATATATTTATATTTTCAAATATATTTTTTATAAAATTTAAAATTTTTTATTTTCAAAATTAAAAAAGTAAAAATTTTTTTTTATATAAAACTTGTAGCGCAAGCGTCAACAAATAAAACAAAAAACAAAAAATAAAATATATCGAATACCAAAAAAGTTATTCCATATGTCAGTACTGTTTGAGACAACCTGTATATATCTATAATTAACAGGGTTGGGATTTTATAGCACTTTAAATTGCATACATATGCTCTTTAATATTACCTTAAATACCGCTAAATATGCGCTAAAAATAAAGGAAATTAATTATTTGTAAGAAATAATTAATACTTTCGTTTACAACAATTTATTACTTTCAATAACTTCAATACACATACATAATAATTCAGTAAGTACGGAACGACGTGCGTCCCACGTACGTACAAGACAACAACAACTACGAATATTAAACATAACCTCTAACATGAATGGAAAAGTAATTATAATAATAATGATGATAAAAGTAATAGTAATAATAATAGTGATAATAGTAATAATGATAATAGTGTTAATGTCACAGCTCGGCCATCCTGACCTATCCCAGTCTCTGGGATCATTACACAATATCTTTAACTTAACATCATAATTTCTAATAACATCTGAACAATATTATAACAATACATAATAGGATATTACATTCATAATAGTATACATAAAATAATAATTAACCACAAACAAGTAAATAGTAAGTAAACAGTACATTTTAATATAAACATCAATAAATAATAACATAACCATAATACATGAAATATAATAAAGGATCATTTTTCCAAGCTCCTAACCCAATGTCTCATGTTATCTGAGCTAATGACTCCTTCATAAGGCACCTGAGTGTGCTGAAAACCTTCAACATCTTTGACTATAAATCGATCGTTTAGTAACACTTTGTCTATTATATATGGGCCCTTAAATTTAGGTATTAATTTTTTATTCACCCCCACACTAACATCTGTATTTTTAATTACAACAAAATCTCCTTTTTTATATAAGGTAGGTTTCTTATGTTTCTCATCATAATATTTTTTATTTTATGATTGATTTTTTACTATCTTGTCCTTAGCCTCTTTTCTTATTTCCTCCAAGTTCCTGTCCTTCTCCACTTCCACCAATAACCTCCTAAACTCACCTTCCACCGTACCATGTTGATATACACCAAACAATAACTTAGATGGGGCTTCACCCGTCGAAGCACATAACATATTGTTCAATGCGTACTCGACCTCATGCAATACCCTGTCCCACCTATTTAAATCTACTGTCTTTTTTGCCAGCATTGCTGTTATGCATCGGATTACTCTCTCAACCTGACCATTTGCCCGGGGTGTCGCCGTTGCCACTAATACCAAATCTACTTTTTTCTGGGCTAAGAATTCTCCAAATGCATTAGACGTGAACGTTGAACCTCTGTCAGATATTACCCTTCTAGGTATACTATAACACCTGAAGTAATCATTCATATGCCTAATTACTTCTACCGTGTTAGTTGTTTTACAAGGATATAACCTAACAAATTTGGTAAATGCATCAATGATTACAAACAAATATTTATTTTTTTTACCAGTCTTCTCCAGTGGACCGTAGTGGTCGATATGGATTGTATCGAACGGTATTGGAGTCTTAGGTACAGGGTGCAACTCACCTTCCTTTTTACCATATACCCGATTTACATTCAGCCACTGCCCCTGCTTATCGCACTGCCGTATTTAATTAATACTTCTGTTGCAACGTCGTGGCAGTGAGTGTGTTTACATTGTGCAGCTCTAGCAGCAACCCAACCGGCAGCGCTCGCCGGTTAACCTGCTGCTCGCACTGCTCAATTTACCGCTCTTGACGGGAGCGACGGGCAGCGACAATGCGAGGAGCATGATCAGCGCGAGTGACCTGTTTACATACTCGTGCTGCCCACTTCCATACCCACTTCCACGAAAATGGGCTGAATGTAAACGAGGCAATATACTGGCGAATATGAGATACATTTTAAGCAATCTGAAATAAAACTTTTGACTTTTTCTCTCAAATTGGGAAACCAAAATGTTCTCAACACTACTTCACTGGTTTTTTCTACACCCAAATGACCATATTCCTCATGCACTGACCTTATCACATTATCCTCCATGCTACTAGGGACGTAAAACAACAACTCCCTTTTATACATGACAAATAAGATAGGTATGTCAGCAATAGTCGTGATACGCATATTTTAATAAAAATGGCGTTCGGCTTTCGCCTATTATCAGAGTTTAAAGATATCACCATGACAAATCATAGATATTAAAGAAATTCTTAAATATTCTTTAATATCTATGTGACAAATAAGATAGTAGTGATAGTACTAGGTAACTTTAAAATGTAAATAATGATAATAATTTCTAGTGATAATAGGCGAAAGCCGGCCGCCATATTTGCGTGAACTCTGCAGTAAATTCGGATATTGCTGACATACCTATCTTATTTGTCATGCTTTTATACTTCCTATATACTAAACCATTTCTCATTTCAAAGTACTTATCCTCACATTTCTTCAACCGCTCTTTTAACTTGTTAATATCTTTATCTTTAATCTGTTTAATCGACAACGTTTGCTCAAAAGTATTTTCATACAACATTAATATATTGGTATTCCGACTTAATGCGTCAACGTGTTTCATTTTACTTCCTGCACGATGTTCAATACTGAAATCATAATTCTGAAATAATAACGCCCATCTTGCAATCCGAGGGTTCATATCTTTCTTGTTCATAGTCAACTTGAAACTTTCACAATCAGTGAACACTTTGAACTTAATACCATTGAGATAAACATGAAAACGCTTCACTGCGTACACTAATGCCAAACACTCCAATTCATAACTATGATATTTAGCTTCTACCTCAGTGGTTCTCTTACTATAGTAAAACACAGGATGAATTAAACCGTCTTTCTGTTTCTGTAATAGGATCACTCCATAACCCAATGCACAAGCATCAAAATGCACCTCGGTTTCAGCTGACGGAGAATATAATGCCAAAATCGGCATTTGCACCAACTTATTCTTTAATAACTCAAAGGCCTGTGACTCCTTCTCCCCAAACTTAAATTGAGCCCTCTTCCTTAACAGCGCATACAGTGGTGCTGCCAAAATGGAAAAGTTTCAATAAATCTCCTAAAATAACTGACTAGTTCTACAAAGCTGTGTACATTGGCTATTGATTTAGGTATTGGGAATTGTGTCACTGCTGCTACATTAGACGGATCAGGTCTCACCCCATCCTTATCCACCACATAACCCAAATATGTTATCCTCGACTGTAGAAAAAAACATTTATCTTCCCTCAATTCAAGTAAGTTATTATTACATGCTATTAATACCGATTCTATTATTTCCAAATTTTCTGCTATAGTTTCTGTGGCTATCAACAAATCATCTAAATAAACTAATAACTTTCCAGACCTTATTAATTCCCTAAATACTGTTTCAATATATCTCATGAATGCTGAGGGACTATTGCAATACCCAAAAGGCAATCGGACATACTCATATTGCCCCAGAAATGTTGAAAAAGAAAGATATCTGGACGACTGTTCCGATACTTTCACATGGAAATAGGCATTCTTTAAATCTAACTTTGTGAAGAAGATCTTCCCTCTTAAATTATCTAATAGATCATCTATATGTGGAATCGGGTAATGTTTTTTCACAACTCTTTTATTTAATTCTCTCAAATCCGCACACATTCGATATGTATTATCTTTCTTTTTGACTAATACTATGGGTGAACAGAATTCAGATTTACTTTCCTTTATAATACCTTTATCTAATAACTCACAAATTATATCCTTCACTGCATTCCTCTCTACATATGATAATCGTCGAGGTTGGTAATTAAAAGGAGTGTGGTCTTTCAAACTTACATTAACTTCGTAGTTTATCTCAGGAGACTCTGGCTTTAACCCTTTTGAGTAACAGTTATCATATATCTTTTTTAACTTACATCTATCACTAAATGATACCTCACCTATGTTCAACTCCGCCTCATCTTCCAACTCATACTCTATTAACCCTAAGTCAACCAAAAAGTCATTACCATTACACTCTTCTTGCTTCGAATTTACCATAATCCTACCATCTTCACCAAACCAAATATTCATCCCCTTAATAAAATCTCTACCCAATAAACATTCGGATAACATAGTCTGATCATCTACCATTGTTTCTTATTTAAATCATAATCAACTAATAAAACCGTAGCATCAGTAACCGCTTCAATACTCAATTGAGACCCGTTGATACCCTAAATAAAAATATCATTATTAAACGGTTTTCGTCCACTAGTCCGGATAAGATGAGACTTAATCAAAGAAATTGGGCTACCACTATCTACCAATGCATTAACAGTAACAGTCTCCTTACATAATATTATACTTACCCTTACATTATATGCTGGCTCTAACAGTCTGATCTCTCCTGCTGATCCACTATATTGCCGCTCGTTCTGTCGCCGAGATTCTTCATTTGTGTCATTCCTATTCTTCTGATCACGTTCCGGACACGCTTATCGCTGATGTGCTGTTGAACCGCAACCGTAGCATGCTCCTTTTGGTCTTACTGGACTGGGACAACTTGGCGCAATGTGCGTTCTGGATCCACAGTTGTAACATATCCGGCTTGTTGCTGACTCAACACCCTTCTGACTCCTACTCGAACTTTCCGCTTTGGGCTTAGGACTTTCTCCTCTGGGCCACTGCTTCTCATTTGAATTGGACAAAACTATTTTATTTTGAAATCGAACATTTCTGTGCTCCACTAACCGCATGTAGTCCATAATGTCAAATAGTAACTCATTTTCGTCATTATGAGTACGGCTTAACAAATATTGAAATAATTCTTTCGATTGGATACCGTCTAATAACTGTTCCTTGGTATCAAACAAATCTAATTCCAAATCTCGACAAAGTCGAACCTTTTCGTGGAAGTAGTCTAGAATACTTTCGTTTTTACCTTGTACCCGAGCTGCCAATGCCTTCCATCGACTGACCGTGTTAACCTTTCTGAAGAACGTTGCTTTAAACTGCTGTTCAAATTCTGCCCATGAATTGAATCTTCGCCCAATATACCATTGGCGGGCTGGACCATCCACGTTTACTCTCGCCGCCTCCAACTTGAGTGCATCCGACCAACGATGTAATGACGCCACTCCACAGAGCGTGCTCAACCAATCCGCCGCTTCGTGGGGCTTACACTTACCATCAAACGTTGGTAGTACTTTCGACAAGTCCGGTGGAGCGTATACCTCCTCTGGCGGTTTCTCCTTTATCGCTAACATTCTCATTAGTAACTCATTCTGTTTGAGTAATGTCTGCATCAAAATCGCGTTCCCGTCTTCCTTTACATGGCTCTGAGTGCTCTGAGTGCTTTGAGTACTCTGGCCGAAGATCACATGATTCACTTCCTCCGCAGAGTACTGCGTCTTGCCGTCGACATTTTTATCCGCATTCATCTGACCATCCATAATTAACATTCGTTCTTTATCCCACTTCTGATGTAAGAAATAATTAATACTTTCGTTTACAACAATTTATTACTTTCAATAACTTCAATACACATACATAATAATTCAGTAAGTACGGAACGACGTGCGTCCCACGTACGTACAAGACAACAACAACTACGAATATTAAACATAACCTCTAACATGAGTGGAAAAGTAATAATAATAATAATAATAATGATAAAAGTAATAGTAATAATAATAGTGATAATAGTAATAATGATAATAGTGTTAATGTCACATATTAATTAATAATTTTTAATCATTTACAAATTGTTATATTCAGTTACTTAAGATTTGAAATATTTTAGTCACTCTGAATCGAATCTAAATGATAAAACGCATTCAAAGCTCGTTCCTTTAAAATCGGAGATTAATAATCGCATTAGAAATCGAAAAAAAACCCAATAAAATCAGCAGATAACAAGAATTAGAACCAAATAGATACCTAATACGAAATTATTGTAAACATTTATTGACAAAATCTAAAAACGCTTTTACTAAAATCTAGTTTCATAAAATATGACCGATTTTGATTCAAAAAAAAGGTAAAAATGCCAAAAAGTCCAAAAAACTAAACATTTTGAATTTGAGTTCTAAGTTGTAATATCTAGGGTTTAGTTTATCAAAAGGAAACAAACCAATATAATATTTTACATTCTACTAAACTGATAATGAGTAGTATACCAGCTATAGTAAATAATGTTCCGATTGAGTCCGCATTTGTTGAAAATTGACGGAACTTCAAACCTGTACAATTACGAGCGGATTTTCCACAGTCCATGTAAGCACATTTACTACCACAACCACGTGATATAATATCAATATAGTTGCAAATAACAATAAATAATCATTATATACAAGAACGCGAGGTAAAACAAAAGTGCAATAAATTAAAATGTCAAATGAATATCCGATCATAGGTACTGTTAGTTCTGTGTCGAAAACTACTCTAGCGTTACCTGAATTCAGGCTCCCATCCTATTATGTTTAGGCTCCCAATACCTCGATTTCCCATTAACAGTTTTTAACTATGCGTGGGCTATGTATATTTAATCAATGCATATAGTATCCATCGTGTACTATCAAAACCAACATGATTTTGCAGTTAAGTCAATTTGAGATAGACTTACTTACATTTGATTTTATTCCCCTAGTACCTGGAAAAGTTGAAATTTAAATTATAATCAATAATTTGGGAAATATATCTCAAGTAGACTTAAGAGTATCCTTCGCGGACATTTGTTGTCTCCGTCTTACAAGTGCATAACATACCAAATTTTTAATTTTTAAACTAATGGAGATAAACATGATTGTCTAACCGTACATTTTACGCACTTGTAAGAATGAAAGTCTCAGTCTGAGTAGCGTCTTCTTAAGATATATTCATATCTGAGTTTGAAGTTCTTATCACATCACTAGATCGATTAGTTGTTTGTTTTATAATGTAGCCAGGGGAACGACCAGTTAAATATAAAATATCCAGGGAGAATCGTAGGATCCTATAGATATAAATACCGTAGCCAGGGGAAAATATGTAGATATCAGGATTTTAAATATATTTATTTATTAGGATTCCATTTCATTTATAACGAATTTTTATTATCTATTAACACTTAAACATAATAATACAAATCTATAAACGTTGTGTCATACTACTTAACTGTTTCGTAGTCATACTGTTCGGTAATTGTTGTGTGTTAAGTTCTAAGGGGCACAGCGAACTGCCGTACTAATCCATCTTGTGTGTTAGCCATAGTCCTTACAATTATGTGTGTGTTTTAATATTAATGTATCGGCATTTAATCAGCAGTAATCATACATAAGGTAGAATTTGTATTATATACACAGGTGTCATGTAACATATTTATATTTATAATTGTTACAGTTTGACATAGATCGTCCTCGATTTGTTGTATAAACTACAAAAAATAAATCGCAAATTGTATAATATAATCTGCATGATATTAATTTTTAAAATAATTTTATATTTTAGTAATACATCGAAAACTGAAAAAGAAGTAAACCCAACTAATATCAATATAAAAACTGAAAAAGATATTATTGAGGCAAGTACATTTGATAGATCCGTTCTCAATGAAAACTACACTTTGGAAATCATCGATCGTTTGAATTCAAGCGATAATTTAAGAGAAAATACTTTAACATCCAATACACAAAATTTGACTAGATATAAAAAGATTCAACTTCGTGAAACAGATGAGGCTAATATCAATATAAAAACTGAAAAAGATATTATTGAGGCAAGTACATTTGATGGATCCGTTCTCAATGAAAACTACTCTTTGGAAATCATCGATCGTTTGAATTCAAGCGATAATTTAAGAGAAAATACTTTAACATCCAATACACAAAATTTGACTAGATATAAAAAGATTCAACTTCGTGAAACGGATGAGGCATTCATTTGTGCAATGTGTAATAAATTATTCTACAAAAAGTCACTTTTAAAAAAACACATACTGCGTCATAAAACGGATGAGGCTAATATCAATATAAAAAATGGAAAAGATATAATTGAGGCAAGTACATTTGATGGATCCGTTCTCAATGAAGACTACTCTTTGGAAATCACCGATCGTTTGAATTCAACCGATAATTTAAGAGAAAATACTATAACATCCAATACAGCGAATTTGACTAGACATATCAAGATTCAACTTCGTGAAACGGATGAGGCATTCATTTGTGCAATGTGTAATAAATTATTCTACAAAAAGTCACTTTTAAAAAAACACATACTGCGTCATAAAACAGATGAGGCTAATATCAATATAAAAACTGGAAAAGATATGATGGAGGCAAGTACATTTGATGGATCCGTTCTCAATGAAGACTACTCTTTGGAAATCACCGATCGTTTGAATTCAACCGATAATTTAAGAGAAAATACTATAACATCCAATACAGCGAATTTGACTAGACATATCAAGATTCAACTTCGTGAAACGGATGAGGCATTCATTTGTGCAATATGTAATAAATTATTCTACAAAAAGTCACTTTTAAAAAAACACATACTGCGTCATAAACTTGAAAATAGCTATAAAAATAGACTTCTGTGTTATAACTGTAATATTTGCGGTAAAAAGTTTTCTCAATTTGAACTTCTTGAAACCCATATAAGATTTCATACTGAAGAAAAACCACATGTATGTGATTTCTGTAATAAACAGTTTCCTACAACATCAGGTTTAAAATTGCACAGAATGATACATACTGGAGAGAAGCCGTATAAATGTCTAATCTGTGACAAACAATTTTATCAAAGATCAGATTTAAATAGGCATACAAGGACACACACTGGAGAAAAACCGTATAAATGTAATATTTGCGGTAAAAGCTTTTCGACATCTCAAAATTTAAAAGTGCACACCACAATGATTCATACGGGTGAAAGGCCCTATAAATGTAATTTATGTGATAAAGCGTTTTGTCGAGCAGTAGATTTAAAAAAACATTCGAAGACGCATACCGCTGAAAAGCCATATAAATGTGAAGTCTGTGACAAGAGATTTGCCCTTGGACAACGTTTAAGAGATCATACCAGGACACATACTGGGGAAAAACCGTTTATGTGTGATATTTGCGATAAAAGGTTTTCTTTGGCAAGATGTTTAAAAATGCACAGAAGGATACATACTGGAGAGAAGCCATATAAATGTCCAATCTGTGACAAACAATTTTATCAAAGATCAGATTTAAATAGGCATACAAGGACACATAGCAATGATAAACCATATATCTGTAATATCTGTAAAAAAGGGTTTTCTCAATCGGAACAATTAAAAAGGCACATGATCATGCACTCTGCTGAAAAGCCCTTTAAATGTAAATGCTGTGATAGATGCTTTTCTCTTTTAAAAAATTTAAAACGACATACAAGGACACACATTGGAGAAAAACCGTATAAATGTGATAATTGCGGTAAAAGCTTTTCGACATCATCAAATTTAAAAGTGCACACAAGGATTCATACGGGTGAAAGGCCCTATAAATGTAATTTATGTGATAAAGCGTTTTGTCAAGCAGTAGATTTAAAAAAGCATACCATGACACACACCAAAGATAAACCACATAAATGCGATATCTGTAACAAGGGGTTTTCTCAGAAAGTAAACTTAACAAAGCATAAAAAAATACATTTAAAAAAATAGTGTGGAGTACTTAATAGTTTGTTCCTTATTAGTTTATATTTTACTTGTGAAATAATTATCCATTTTTTTGTGATTTTTATTCCGTATTAACAATATAAGTGCGCTAACAGACTTGTGTTGTTGTTGAGTCAGTCTGCCCAAAACTCTTCCTCCGTGGGAAAATTTGTTCGAAACTTAAAAGTACAGTTTCAGCTATATTTTATCTGCCAATTATGGTTCGAGTTATCGTGCTGTTGTGTGTCAACCAGTAATTTTTGTTCTTACTACAGCGCGTGTCAAGGCAGCCACTCGTCTTATCTGGTTAAAGTTGATACGGCCCAAAGCACGAGTATCATAGTACAACTAAAAAGGCCGTTCTAACGGCCAACAAATCGATACAATAGGCAAGCATAAATGACTAACTTGCCTATTTTGAACAATTAAAACAAAGTCATTTTAAACTACTATTCTACGGAAATTTACCGAGTGAAAATGACACTGTTCATTCCAATTGATCTAGCAATTGATATCATTTTCACTCGGTCAATTGCAACACAAACAACCAATCAAAATTACGCTGGGGTCGGCCGACGCGTGTAAATACGGGTGCGTTCGACCGATCGAGATCCAGTCTTTCTCCAAACTTCCAAAACGTCAACATTAGCACACAAACTATTTGTTGATATTGGAATAAAAGAGAACCTGACTAACCGCCAACCAAGATCGTATGCCAGCCGATGAAGAGCACAAGCCGAAGCCAAGATTACCAGCCAACCACCGAAGATTACCAAACCGCCGAACGACCACTATCAACACCGGCACATACAGATAAACACGGACTCGAAATAACTCGTACAGCCTGCGGCCAAGGAGACGACGAGATCAGCGAGAGCGGACAAAACGCCTGGATAGGCCCAAACAATCCCAGATCCATGAAAGACGCGGGAGACCAAAATGGTCGTTGTCAGGACTACCCTAATAGATCAGCCCCCCCGTGCGCGCCTGCTTAGGCCACGCTTTTCCGTACGGATCCACGAGCCAACGCCACTTGTCTGAGCTCCACTTGTGACCATCCGTACCTACCCGATTTGTTACAAATATCACTTAGGGAAACCATTCCCTCACAATGTTAAAGTGATCACGATCCCATCGTCCATTCAACATGGGATAAAGGACGTGAATCGCTGTCCCAATTAATGTATGAGTATGTAATATAGATAATAAAATAATAAACATACATGATTACCATAATAACAAACGGAATTTAACTTATTACGTGGCGGAGATTCGCCAACGGCGGCTCCGTAACAAAGTTATTGGTACCGGGTGCATAATAATTTGCCTACCTACTCCGTTATGGCATTCTGCTTGCTTAATCGCTTATTACTAGCAGTATTGCATTCACTATGGTTCCTGCCACTCCCGATATATTTGTAATAGAGCTCGGAAAATAGACCAAGCCCATGCTTATCGATTTTATTTTAAATAAAACATCTCTCGGCTGTAAATTTCAGCGATGGTCTAATGTTGCACCTAAATAGCAATAATTTAGTTAAAGAATCATCGGACAATTCAGCAAATATTGCCACTATATTACAGGCAGTCGTAATTGAGTTAAAGCATATTTCCGAAAGTAAACGGTTGATTAATGTTAAATTTAATTTAATGGCGAACCCTAACTCTGCTGGAACCTCTTCCAGTGATATATTTTGTCAAGTAGTGAAACAGGTACCTACGAGTTCGGCAGTTTCAGTAACAAATCGAGTAAATGCGTCAGACCGTACCAAGTATATTGTTGGTTCTGGTACACCTACCTCCACTGGCTTATCGGCTGCTCCGAAGCAGAAATTCTTCGACCTGTTCGTCTCTCGTTTGAACCCTAATGCCGCTACCGATCTGCTTAAGTCTTAATTGTTCGCCGGATTTGATGACATCACATTAACCCAGATGATTACTAAGCATCTAACATACTCATCGTTTAAATGTAATGTATCTCTGTTCAACTATATTTTTATCTATTTAACAGAAACTTGGTTATGTGACAGTTTTTTTGATAATGAATTAGGTTTAACTAATTATGCTGTATTCAGGTGTGATAGTAATAGCGATACTAGTAATTTTTACAGAGGCGGTGGTGCTCTCATTGCAATTCGTAATGATATTGTTTGTGAATTATTACCTACCACTATCAATACTGTTGAGCATTTATTTGTAAAATTCCATTTTCAAAATGTCACCTTTGTTGTTTGTTCCGTTTATATGCCTCCTAATAGCCCTGTTCCCGTCTATGAGTCATTTATGTCAGCTGTCCAGACTATTATCTTTCAATATTATATGTGTATTCATAATTTGTGGTGACTTCAACCTACCTGATACCTCATGGTCAAATGATGACTATTTCCTAAACTATTGTTAATCTTCAGGCCTTCGAGTCCAGTGTGTCCCTGATATATTTGCTTTCAATAATTTTTACAAGCTCAATGGAATCTCGAATCACATTAGGGGAACCCTTAATCTGGTGTTTTCCAAGAACTGCAGTGTTTTGGTTGAAAAATCAGAAGTTGTCTCTGTTCCGTGTGATCCTTATCATCTCCTGCGCTTGCAATCCAATTTGCCTTTGACCGGGACCACCTTCCACTTGATAACTCATAAATATTTTAATTTCCATAGTGCACGCTATCCGGACATATGTTCTTATTTTATATCTTTTTGTCTTTCAACTGGTTTGAAACTATAGTGTATCTTGATGTAGATCAGGCAACCAATGCATTATATGATGCTCTGCATTTCTGTGTACTAAATTTTGTTCAAAAGGTTAATTATTGTCCGTCTAAATTCCCTCTGTGGTTTTCCAAAGACGTCAAATCTATAGTTCTTCCTAAAAAGCGCGCTCATGCCAAATATAAAGTTTCCCGTTGTCCAAGGGATTATAACGAGTTTTCTTATCTCCTTGGCCGTTATAAATATGAATAAAAAGGTTGCTATAAATCGTTCTTAGCTCAAACTGAGTGCAAGCTAAAAACCAATCGTCAGTCTTTTTACGACTTTGTCCGGAAAAATAAATCCAGTGATGGGATTCCATATACTGTTCATTTTGATGAAATGGTTGGTTCCGACTCTGAATCAATTTCTAGCCTGTTCTCTTCATATTTTATCACCGTATATGCCACTCCCTCTTCCAAATAAATTCCAGATATTTTTTGTTCTCATTTTAATCTACCAAATAACCGTTCTTTTACCACAGATGATGTCGAATTGGCTTCATCTATGTTAAAAACTTCAAAATCTGATGGTCCTAATGGTCTGCCATTGACGTTCCTATATAATATAAAATCCTCTCTCTGTTTTCCGCTGTGGTTGATATTTCGTCACTCCCTTGACACAGGAACTTTCCCATCTATCTTTAAGATTAGTTCAGTCACGCATGTATATAAGTCTATTGATAAAACTGATGTAAAGAATTATAGGCCTATTTTGATCCAAAATCATATTGCCTAACTCTTTTAGCAGCTTGTTCTGAAGTATATTCAGCCATCGATTAATTCTATCTTAGTTGATGAAAAATATGGCTTTAGGCCTAGCCGTTCTGCTACTACAAATCTGATAGTTTTTCATAATTTTATATTGGAGGCCGTTGAAAAATGGACTCAGGTGAATATTATTTTTACGGATTGCTCCAAAGCATTTGATCCTGATGACCATACAATATTAATTTAAATTCTATATAAAGCTGGATTTGGGGAACCCATCCTATCTTGGTTCAAATCATAATTATCTAGTAAGGTCCAAAGTGTCAAAATCTTAGAATGTAAATCTGAAGCAGTCTGTGTACTTTCAGGTGTTCCTCAAGGGGGGAGTGCCGTTGTTGTTTCTCTATTAGTAATGGTCTAAAATTTGTTATTCCAGATTCTTTGTTTCTTATGTTTGTTGACGATTTAAAAACCTTTTTTTTAATTAAGTCAGTAACTGATTGTGTTACCTTCCAGAAACAGCTTGATGTTCTTCCCTTGTGGTTTAATTCTCTGGGACTAAGCTTCAATGTAGGTAAATGCTAATCCATGTCTTGCTAGGAATAGTAATATAATTAACTACACGTACTTGATAAATGGATCAAGCATTAATATTGTTTCTAGGAAGAAAGACTTGGGTTTCTTTTCTGTCCAGATCTCGATATTCATTACCATATAGGGGCAGTTTGATGTCGTGTGTTTAATATGCTTGGCTTTGTCATACGCACATCAACATAATTTAAGCTCTCTAGTTATCTCAAAGCTCAATATGCTCTGTCGTACGGCCTCTTTTATACAATTCTTCCATTCTTTGGGACCCTTTTACGGCAGCTGACTCTTCTTGCATTGAGAGTTTACAGAGGCGTTTTTGTTCTTCGGCATCATTTATTTTACAAATACCGCATCCATCGCATGATTATAGGCCAGTGATGAATACTCTTAAACTCTTGTCCCTAGCTGATAGAAGAGTTGAAGCTTATCTAACGTTTTTGTATAAGCTGATTGACGGACGTGTGGATGCTCCCTTTCTCTAATTAATTTTAAAGTTCCTACTCACTTTACTAAGTCTAATTCTTCCTTTGTTGTCCCATTCCACAGCACCAACTAATGATAGAAATAATCCTAGTCATCGTATGATGCGCATTTCTAACGAGCACCTAGGCTTCTCTTAAACTTTTATTAATAGTATTGTAATCAGTTATTCTTTTTTTTTTTTAATTTTTGTTCATTATTTGTTAATACTTTTATTTTTGTTTTTTTTATATATTTGCCATTTGTTTTTTTTAGCATTGTATTGTTTGGCGTTTGCTTACGTCATTATTAAGTTATTTTGTTTAAATGTATTATTAAAATATTGTATTGCACAATTTTGCCCCTGCCATTCATTAATAAATAAATAATTAGAGTAGTAAATACAATGTAAAATTTTAATGTTAAGGAATTGATTTAAATTCGAAAAACTGGCCCCGACATCCTTTAATGGATAGGTAATGAGATATTGATATACCTAGATATTGTGTACCTAGTGTATTTTGTAATTGGTAAAACATATAAAAGCTTGAATTCATTTTTATTATAAGAAGGGGGTGGGTTGTCATAAGGTTGCGGGCATCATTTTTCACCTTTTTGGGGAATCATGACACTAAAAATTTAAAAAATGAATATGTTTTTTAATGTGCCTAGTAAATTTGTTTTTGAGTTAGCTACAACAACAAAAATAAAACTAATTTTGAATTCCCGTTTTCCCGGTTACTTTGACAGTTAATGGGAAGTTTTTACTTTTTACCGCCCAAATTACTAACAAGTTCCAATATAAACTATCTACCACAAATCATCCTTAAAGTTGAAACTCGAAAACATATTACTGCCCTAAAAAGTGATTACAGAAGGAAAAAAACACATCTATACTAATGTTATTATAATTTTTTCAAAAATTACTGAAATAATTAAAATCAATTACACAACTTGAACCGCATTAAAAAATATTAAGTCTTATAATATTATAAGGTATTATTTATGATTTTTTAGAATCATAAATAATTACTATAATAACTATGTAGTTGACTTAAATTTGTATTTTAAATAATTTACCTTTAAAAAAATATAATATTTTGCACTTAATGTTTATTAGCACTTCTTTTTTATAATTTTTTAAATAACATTTTTGGGGGCCCTTCTGTATAAATGTATCCGGGGCCCTTTAACAACTAGGCTGACACTGAACTAGTTCCAATATTAACAATCTATCACAATTCATTCTTAAAGTTGAATCTCGAAAACATTTTACGCCCCTTAAAAGTGATTACAGAAGGAAAAAAACACATATTTGAGTTTAAAAGAATATACTTATGTGTATATATTATGATGCAATTGTTAGGTATTTAAAAATAAACTGAAATCCGGTGTCCTATTGGCTATGTACAACATCATCTTACATGACTCCCTCTAATTTATGTCATAAATTCACTTTCAAACATTTTCATAATATTATATACACACCACTTTTGTTATGGGTTTCCGCGACGATGCGATTGCGCCTTTAGCCTTTAATTATTATATTATCATTAACCAGTGGTACGCTGCACGTCTCGTCGGCTCAAAAGTTATTGTCACGAGTATTTTATTTTTTATTTTTTTTTAAGTAAATTCTTCATAGGGGACAGCTGACCTTCTTACGTTGTGTCAAACCTTCATGTTAATGACGCGCGTTGACAACCGTTGCCGAAGTAAATGGTGTAGCCATATTTTTTAAAAATAATATAGACTGTCAACTACTAGTTACCAAAGTCCTTACCAGTGGCACTGAAGTACATGCTAACGTCGGACCATTACTTTATTATGAGCATGAGTATATTTAAGACATGATTATAAGTAAATGTATATTAGCCTACGAATATTTGAAATTTTCCTACGCCCCACCACATTTTAAAAACGTTGACACCACTGATGGTTACCATCTTACATATTATAAATAAAGTATGGATGTGTGGTATCATAACCAACCGTGATAAGTGAAACCACAATACAAACATTAATATTATAATATATAAATTCAGTTTTTATTTTTATTTTAAAAAATAGGTAAATTAAAAAATATTAACAAATAATAGGTAATTACTATGATCAAAATACCTGTGAGTGTCAGTACACATGACTGAAGTGAATACTTCCCTAAATGAATATTTAACATTGATTGGATTTATATAGAAAAAAAATTTTACTTGCTCCTGGGAGCCGGACTGGTGTAGAGATCAGTTGCTGCGTGGTTGGCTGCTGAATGGCTATCTGCTGGGTTTGCAGCTACACCGCTGGGCCTGGAAGCGTCCTCGTCCGTCCCGGTCGTCGTGGAACTGGTACCCCGGTGCCTCGGCGAGGTCGCATCCGCAAAGGTGGCTCTGCCGT